ATTAGCGGTCCTGTTTCCCTAGCTCCAGTCCCCATTAGCGGTCCTGTTTCCCTAGCTCCAGTCCCCATTAGCGGGGCAGCTTCCCCTGTGCCCATTAGCGGGGCAGCTCCCCCAGTTCCTGTGACCATTAGCGGGGCAGCTCCCCCAGTTCCTGAGCCCATTAGCGGGGCAGCTTCCCCAGTGCCTGAGCCCATTAGCGGGTTGTTTTGCTTAGCGCCAGAGACTCCTGAGCCCATTAGCGGGTTGTTTTGCTTAGCGCCAGAGACTCCTGAGCCCATTAGCGGGTTGTTTTGCTTAGCGCCAGAGACTCCTGAGCCCATTAGCGGGTTGTTTTGCTCAGCGCCAGAGACTCCTGAGCCCATTAGCGGGTTGTTTTGCTTAGCGCCAGAGACTCCTGAGCCCATTAGCGGGCCGTTTAGCCTAGCGTCAGAGACTCCTGAGCCCATTAGCGGGCCGTTTAGCCTAGCGCCAGAGACTCCTGTGCCCATTAGCGGGCCGTTTAGCCTAGCGCCTGGGACCCCTGAGCCCGCTCAGAGTCATCCTGATAGCCCTGAGCACACTAGTAAAAGGCTCTCTAAAATAAGGCTCAGCGGGCGCTCCAAGCCTCCACGGCCCCTCAGCGGGCGCTCCAAGCCTCCACGGCCCCTCAGCGGGCGCTCCAAGCCTCCACGGCCCCTCAGCGGGCGCTCCAAGCCTCCACGGCCCCTCAGCGGGCGCTCCAAGCCTCCACGGCCCCTCAGCGGGCGCTCCAAGCCCCCTCTGAGGCTGTTCCAGTGCCGCAGTCGGCGGCCCCCTCTGAGGCTGTTCCAGTGCCGCAGTCGGCGGCCCCCTCTGAGGCTGTTCCAGTGCCGCAGTCGGCGGCCCCCCCTGAGGCTGTTCCAGTGCCGCAGTCGGCGGCCCCCCCTGAGGCTGTTCCTGTGCCGCAGTCGGCGGCCCCCCCTGAGGCTGTTCCTGTGCCGCAGTCGGCGGCCCCCCCTGAGGCTGTTCCTGTGCCGCAGTCGGCGGCCCCCCCTGAGGCTGTTCCTGTGCCGCAGTCTGAGACGGCGTCCCCCAAGGTTCCTGCAGCTGCGTCTGAGACGGCGTCCCCCAAGGTTCCTGCAGCTGCGTCTGAGACGGCGTCCCCCAAGGTTCCTGCAGCTGCGTCTGAGACGGCGTCCCTCTCCAAAGGTTCCCCTTCTTCAGAGACGGCGTCGCCGGTGTCTACCAGAGGCCCTCCTCCGTCTACCAGAGGCCCTCCTCCGTCTACCAGGGGCCCTCCTCCGTCTACCAGGGGCCCTCCTCCGTCTACCAGAGGCCCTCCTCCGTCTACCAGGGGCCCTCCTCCGTCTACCAGAGGCCCGCCTTCGGCCTCCAGAGGCCCGCCTTCGGCCTCCAGAGGCCCACCTTCGTCCTCCAGAGGCCCACCTTCGTCCTCGCCTCCGGCCCCACGGCCGGCCTCCGGAGGCCCACCTTCGTCCTCGCCTCCGGCCCCACGGCCGGCCTCCAGAGGCCCGACTCTGTCACCTCGCCTCCGGCCCCACGGCCGGCCTCCAGAGACTCTGTCACCTCGCCTCCGGCCCCACGGCCGGCCTCCAGAGACTCTGTCACCTCGCCTCCGGCCCCACGGCCGGCCTCCAGAGACTCTGTCACCTCGCCTCTGGCCCCACGGCCGGCCTCCAGAGACTCTGTCACCTCGCCTCCGGCCCCACGGCCGGCCTCCAGAGACTCTTTCTCCTCGCCTCCGGCCCCATGGCTGAATTCTAGGGACTTTAGGTTGCCCTCGCCCACCTTTTGTGGGTTGTTTTGATTTTGGTTTCTTGCCCTCCTTCCTGGTTTCCCCCTCCGCCCACCCTGGGTGGGTTGTTTTGTGTTTGGGCTCCAAGAGCGTCTGGTATCCGCCCTTGAGGGGGGGGTACTGTTATGGTTCCTATTTGTTGTTATTCTGAGTTTTCTGTTATCAGTTGTTTTGTTTTTATTTTCCATTATCTTCAAGCATTCTTTAGTTACTCTCTGTTGCCCCCTTGTGATTGTTTTCTTTTTCCTTGGATTCCCTCTTGCCTGTTCCACCCACACCTGCTCCCCATTCAGCTCGTTAGTCCATCCTTTGTTTGGTTGTCCTTAAATACTCCACCTCTGCAGTCACTCAGTGCTGGTTCCTTCTTGTTGCTGTGTTGTCTACTCTGCTCATCTCTCCCCGGCTCCTCAGACTCGTCTTTACCCTGATGTCTCCATGATTTTGGTTTGTTTTATATTTTGAGTTGGATTTCTGCCTCTGCTGCTTTTTGGTCTACAATTAAACCTTTCAGAACACATCCCTGCTTCACTTGTCTCTGCATCTGGGTCCTCAAGCAACCTCACCACCCATTGTTGACAATCTCCTCTCCTACCAGTTTCAGGCCTGGGGGTGGCAGCCCTATTCTTTGCTCCTGTTCATGCATATCTGTCAAATTAAGCTCTATGTTTCCTCTCGAGGTCTGACTCCAAAGACAAAGTAATTGTATCAATGGATTTCTCCTAATTGTCTTTTCTCGTTGTGAGGTTTTCAGATTGAACTACCCGTTGAACAAAAATGGAGTGTCATCAGTCAGAAGCTTTTCCAGATCTGCTGCAGGACAGACTGCTACATGAACTCTTTCCTGCCTTCAGCTATCAACATTTAAAAAACTAATTAAAAAACCCCAATACATGTGTTACATCGACATCTGATTTCCCCTTATATATATATATATATATATATATATATATTTCTTAACTGAATCATTCTCATCCTGTCATTCATGTCTCTTCCTTGGTGTTACCTGGGTCCAGGGGCGTCTCTAGGTTTAAGAGACAAGGGTGGCTCAGCCCCTAAAAGATAATGCGCGCGAATTTTTTCAGTGCACCTGCTAAGGCGTTGTCTAACTTTGTGTTGAAAGTTGGTGGGGACGGCTCATAAGGAAGGGGAGCTACCTGCGCGACACCTTTTTTTTTTTTGTTGGAAAGGATAAAGCCAAAAAAATGCGAATAACATTTATCAATTTAATGCTTACAGTTGAAAACATAACCGTTACAATATTCACTTATATATTTTGTGCAAAAAATATCACATAAATCTAAACAGACAGTACAAATCAAAGAAATATATCAATTTTGTAGAACATTTATTGACAGTCAATTTTAGGTCACTTTTTAAAATTAATTTACTTTTAAACCAGGACTCGGACAAGATCTTATGGGACCTTAAGCAGAATATGATTAAGCAACTCCGTCTTTCTGTCAAGAACATCCACCAGCAGGGTCAATACTGATTTGATAGAATCTGGGAGAGCGGACTATGTTCAACCATCCATTTTCTTTAACCTTATCCCTCAGTGGGATCAGGAGGTGCTGGTGCATATCTCCAGCCACGTTCTGGGTGAGAGGTGGGATCACCCTGGACAGGTCACCAGTCTGTCGCAGTATGTTCAACCAGCTTAAAAGTAATCGGTAATCAGATTTATTATTTGCACTTTTACTAAGTGAACTTTCTAACTCCCTTAAATCTGAAATTACAATGGCAAAATTGTTTAAATCTTTTATCTTTGGACCCCCTGCAGAGTGACGTCACACCTGCAAGATCCTTTTCTTACCTTCCTGCTAGATTGCAAAAAGCAGCTTGCTCATGAGTTGTCAACTTAACACGCTAAATCTTAAATGTACGTGTACATATAAAAGAAAAAGGGGCGCAGTGCTTGCTACTGAATGGCAACACTATCAAAGTCAGGAAAAAGTTTTAAGTAAAGCCGGGATTAAAACAGTAGCTACAAGAAGCTTCAAATAAAAGGTGTTGTTTATGTTCAACCTAAACACCAACTCCGATAGACCATCAGTAGAGCAGGTGTTTAAATTAATCAATCACTGCTGCGAAAGCTTATAGCAGTGAAAGCTAATATACCACAGCCATCACCTTATAAACGCAAAATAAACAACCCTCTAAAATCGGAGAACTGTAATGGACTGAAAGTCCTGTTTTTTATGTGGGAAATTATTTGCGTGTGTTTTAGTATAATTCTGATATATTGGCGCTGTTGTCTGTTTCTATGGCGACGATACTGAATGTAGTGTAGCTTAGAGACCTGCATGGGTCGAGTTTTACCAACCCGCACCCGCCCGAACCCGTTAGGATGACTACCGAACCCGACCCGTCACCCGCGGATATCTTCAATTCAAATGTTATGGGGAGAGGGCGGAGGGGGGTGATGGGGAGAAAGCGAGAGGCAACAGATTATTTTTTATGAGTTTTTTTGTCGGGGTTTGTGGACGGTGAGCAGCGGGGAGAACTTTTTTTATTTTCTTTCTGAGGAGCGGCATGAATGGGGTTTTAATCAGATATACACAGCACCGAAAGCAAAATACGTGTACAAAATATTGGTGGGGACATGTCCACACCAGTCCTTAAGGAAGTTACGCCTATGATTGTTCAGATTAACTTGTCTTCTTTATGGCTTTTATTCGGTGCTTTACTGCATTTGTTTTGGGAAAATATGAGGAAAAAATAAATACAGAAAATTTTTTTTTTTTTTTTAAATCGCAAAATAATTATAGGGTGGCTAATGCCAAAGAAAGGGTGACTGAAGCCACCCTTAAATAGGTCTAACGACGCTTATGCCTGGGTCCCTGTGTTCCTCTGGGAACTGATGCCCTCAGGCATAGCCCCAACACTAAGTCCTTATCTCTGAAGCCTCCTGCAGAAACTTTCCACAGATGATTTCTTTGAGTGCCTTTCCTCTGCTCACACAACCCAGATTTCTTTTGATTGAATATTTTCAAACCGAAAAAAAAAAAGGATCAGCTGTAAGTATGGATTCATGGTGATTTTCACATTGCAACATTTGCAAACATATTTCTGCCTAAAACTGAGAGGGGGAAAAAAACAACATGGATTCAAGAGTCTACATGAACAGATTAATTTGCGATGCGCTGGTTTTGGCCCCTCCTCGAGAAGAAGAGAGGGGCTCCGCTGAGGAACCCGTGGACCAATCGGTTGCCGGTAATATTTCACTGGGGGAGCGAGCGTTGTGTGAGGATGAGCCCTGCTGCTGCTTCTCCATCCTCCTCTGCGCTCTCCGATCGGCGAGCTGTGGAATAGGCGTGTTTCTGTTTTTCAAACGCAGAAAAACGCACAGAAAACCTAACTTCAAGGTAAGAAGGGACTCACCTTTAATTTCCATTTTTTCTTTCTTTGCGCATCCAATGCAAAGGTGCTGAACGCACGGTATCCGAGCAGGGGGTGCAGAGGCTGTCATGCGCTTCTTCTGTGAGATATGTGATGGAGATAGCTGGGGATAAGATGGGGGGGTTGTTCTGCTGTTGTACTTTTCGTGTTGTGGGTTTCAAGCTGTGTCAACTTCACAGCAGGGGGCAGGATATCTTCACATCATTTCGCGTAAATACGCTTGAATAAACAAACGCGCCAAATTGACGTACAATAATTGCGATATGAGAGCAGAGACTCTTTAATGTTGCCAAGCAGCGAGTTTCGCTCGTGCGTAAATGTCCGCTGACCGTAAAGCGCCTTCCTCTTTAAGCAATGGTTCCATGAGTGTTAAACCGTGCGTCCCGGGGAGGAATCCGCACAAGCTGCAGGGGCACCACACTGAGGCACACTGCTTTTCTATTCATCAAAGCAAAGTCGAGTGGAACACCAGCCGGCCTGGCGCTCTGGGACAGCGAGAGGATGATTCCCCAGGACCTCCAGGAATGGGAAAAAACTAATGTTAGAATTAAAATAATAAAAAAAATGATGGAACAATTGGTGTACTTTCTACTGTCTGTTTAGTGTAGAAATTATAATATTGAAATTATTTTGTTCCTTACATATTTCTTCTAATCTAGCTTGTTTGAATAGTTTGGAATGACTGGAAATGGTTGCATTACAATCCCTTGGAGGGTTTTTTGACCAATTATTCTTTAGGAAATTGTTTTAATTTCGAATCGTTTGATGGTTTAAGGGGAATAACGGTGCTGCAGTTTGTATCTTGTTTCCCTCAGCAAGAAGGTCTAACCTTCCATGGATTTTCCTGCATTGAGTTTGCATGTTCTCTCAGGGTCTGGGTTACAGTTAGATTGATTCGTGACTCTAAATTGCCCTTACAGGTGTGTGTGTCTGTTTGCATGGTTGTATAAATCTATGATGCCTTGCAGTGGACTGGTGACCTATTCAGGGTGTACCACATCTTTAGACTAAAGACCTCCCCGCATCCCTGTTCAGGATTGATGGATAGTTGTGGCGTATTATAGGCTTTTTTTTTTAAAGTAACAGCTTATTTCTTAAGCTTTTGGATCATCATCCTGCTCCATAACAAAAAATTGTTTAACAGAAAATATGGGCTGGTTATTCTTCAAAATAATGATGTGAGAATGAGCAGAATTAATTGATTTATTTCCATGTTTTTTGTTCTGAAATATTGTTAGTTTTGGCCAGATGTAAGATGAAGCACACCTTACAGGAAGTTTAACTTTTCGTTTTCCTGAAAGTCTTGAAACAGTTTTTTTTTTTTGTAAATAAGTTGTTTTCATCTTTTACCTCTATAATGGAGCCAGTCTTGACTAAATGACTTTCTTAGTGCTGAATCATACAATTTAAGGAATTTTCTTTGGTAATAAGGCGAGACTAGCAAACATACAATTGACTTAAAATGCATTTGAAAATATGTCATTTGAAAGAAAGGCAACTTGAAAAAGGCATGTTATTATGTTACATTTGAGCTGAAAAGATGTTTTTGCACAGGGCATGATCAGCCATCATAAACATTGGTGTACACAGTCACCATCTGCTTGCAGTATTTACACATCATGCTTGTTCAAATTCCCAATCATCCGGGTCATTGCAGCCACAGAACCAACATATTTTTCCTCGAAAAAACAGATCAGTGGACGGACGTAAAACTGGGAAAAACAGTGCAATCATTACTTCTTCATGTCTCTAACTACGTTTCTGGCTGATTTGTATCTTAGGGTTAGGGTTAATTGTATGTAAAGTTCTATGTTATTGCATGGTGCATAAGATGCGCAGGCGCAAGGATATCTTGTCTCGAGGCAAGAGGTAAAAATACGACGAAATAAGATGAAAAAAACGTCTAAAATTTACGAAATTACGGTGCATAACTTTTCGTACGATTTCATACGAACTCATAATGAGAATACACTGACAGAACAGGCTTAAATCGGAAGCTACCGGATGTTCAGTTTTTCCTAAAATGTTTCCACACCTATCCAGGACCTGACAGAATTGACAAACAATCTTAGGGGTGGAAATGTTTAAAAAAAAACTTAGAGAAAGTCTAGTGTGTCTCCATTTTAAGCTTGTTTTGTGGTTACTTCTGCTTCAATCAATTTTCCAGTTTCCAAGGCTTTAGCGCTCACTTGGAAAGCATGAAATACAGTATAAAAGTTACACTTTTATACTGTTTTCAGAGCGCGAATATCATCTAAACCTTCTTGGCATTCAATATTTTTTGTTGCTAACTCACACTTGATCTTAGACTTTTCCTCTTTTCACATCTTCCATGGGAGTTACTTTCTTGCTTACTTAGTGCGCACATGCACAATATTGTATCTCCAGTCACATGGTCTAGTTAAGCTAAATGCCACCGGAGGTATGCATTACTTTAGATATTATTCTAGGTGGTTTTGTAACCTCCTGGATGAGACGTTGATACACTCTTGGAGTTCTTTTGATAGCTTGGCCAATCCGGGGATGGTTCTAAATAAATACTGGATTTTTATTTATTAGAAATGCTTTGCAGATGATGGGAAAGCCCCATGTATTACACATATAAAGAGGAAATAAAATGCATGCTTCCTTAAAAAATTTGTTAACTTTGAATGCATCGAAAGAGCTGTATTAAATACTTACTGCTAATGTCTTGTTTGGTAAGGAAATGTTTAGGACACATGGTAGCTTGGAATGTTGTGTTTTGATTTTTAACATTTCTTCCACATAAACTGTGTCTTAAGGTATCTTTGGGTCTTTTCTATGAACTTTAAATTGTAAAAAAAAACTGCTAATCAGCTGGACATTCTTTTTGTCTTAAACCAGCTAAATCTTTCTAAGTCTTTCTTCGTGTGTCATATTCCTTTTGGAGTTATGATGTTCCATGATGCATTCAACCTTGTATTTTTCCCACTTCTCCTGGTGTGTCAGTGGTTTTTTTCAAATATTCCACAACAACACTTAACTTGTTTTTTTTTTTCTTTGAACAGTGTATGTCCATAGAGTTCATTGGGGTTCAGTGCCTTACTTGGTTTTCAGGGGAAAAGCTGTATCTCTTATTTCTAAGTCTTTCTGAAGCTTTCTTGGCTCAAGGACAACCCTGGAGATTCTTCCAACTCCTCTGTTGCACCTGGCTAATGCTGGTTTATGGTGAAATAATGTCTTTCTGCTGCCTGAGATCTGCACCCGAGAAATTCAGATGTTTAGAAAACCTAGTATAATACTCTAATTGGTACATTTTCAAACAGTGAAACTTCTTAGTGAGGATTTCAGTGACATAAGCATAGCAACATGGTTTTAATTATGAACATTTTAAGCTGAATCTTTTTGTTTGTTTTGGTATTTTTGTTACTTATCCACTACCTACACTGCATAACTGAAATTACAACTCTGCTATAGTAAGCTTTACAGCACAATTTGCAGCCTAGCTGAGAGCATTTTGTTTTTCTCGGCCTCTTGGAAAAAACCCAGTGTTGGTGCAAATCACCAACGCATCATAATAAAGAACATTAAGGATCTCCATCTAATGTTACCTCTGAATATTCTTCGAGTCCCTTCCTTTTCTTCTGAAATCATTTTAACATGTTCATCTGAAATTGCAAGCACAAATAAATCTCAACCATAAAGGTCCCAGATTATGCAGAGTTTACTTTATAAACTTTTGTAGCAGCCATATGTGTCCTGAAGGTCGTGTCTGAGGTTCACAAATGACAACAATACTCTCCCCTCTGTCATTGCCTTTCTCCACCTCTTAGTGTGTTTTAAAAATGCTCTGTTTGAAAATCATGCCCTTCATGATGTCATAAGGGGAAAAAAGCTGTCCAGAACGGTTTGTAGCAGCCCACCAGTTAAGCTCCGGCATTCATCTTAGGTATTATTCTGTGCTCATAAGCTCTCTTCATGAACTTTGACTGGTTGTCATGGATGCGGGTTGTGGGGGGATGGCCTTCGGGAGGAAAGGTGCGCTGAAAGCCAAAACAGCTGGTCCAGAAGAGGGCTGAATTAGGGGATTTTGGGATCTTTAAGACATGAAGGGGGAATTGTATTAACTATGTTACTGTCATTTAGATGCAATCTAAGTTAACATTTAGGTCGCATTTACAGGCTTGAGCTAAAAATATGTTCAACTTCATTAGGTATTTTACTTTTGCCTTTTCTCTCCTTCTACTTTAGGGCTGTACTTTGATCCAGTTGATAGGAGAGAGAGGAATATCAATACGAGCAATGTAGAAAGTGATTAAAAACACAAAATTTTCTTTCAAATCTATAAATGAACTCCATAAAATACCTGCATTGCATTATAAGTAGCAATTTATCAATATTTTAACTGAACCAAACTACATCAATCAATTTTGCTGTGTTATCAAATTTAGGACAGTTAGCAGAGGCACACGCAGTGGGTCAATTAGATAATTGACTGAGGCTGTGTATGAAGCAAATGCAGGGAGGAAACTATTTTAATTCAACATAAAAAAAAAAAAGGAAACAAAACATTACATACAAAATTCTATTTGCATTATAATTACATCCCGCTTTGTTATCCAGGGGTTGGATCCTTGATAGTTTTGCACATGTGTGACTCATTTTTAACAAGGAAACAGACTGGTCTGCTCTTTGCTGTGACTCTGCTGCTGCGTCTGACCCCCCTGTCTGTACTTTGAGGTGATGGGCGCTCACAACAGCCCTCATTCCTTGTTTAACACTGGAAACTCAGAGGAATCTTTACTTTTATGTTTCACCACCAAACAATGGAAAATGAATTACTAGATTTGTCTCTAGTGGCTTTAAAGAAAAATCACTACTGCTAATTTAGCAATAATGTCTGTCTGTCGCTTATAGTTTTCCTGGGGGCCTTTTTGCCATGCAGTAGCTAGCTTTGCAGGCAGGCAGGAATGAATGCCGTTGATGTTGGTTTTTCAAAATGCAA